TTTTAGTCCTTCCAAACTCCTCATGAGCAAATCTTATGTTAATTTGTTAATCTCTAATGGAGCCAGTACACACACTCTGAGGACGCTTAGCTCTTTTGGACAGCCCAGGTGCTCTGTGTTCCTCTTAGTTTAGTTATTATGCAAATGCTACTAGTGTCTAGAATTTCCCTTCCAGAAAGTGTTGTACTGATAGGGTAGTTGAAGATTTAGGATCCTAGTTTGGATGCCTTGCAAACTGAATTCTTGAGCAGTTGAGAGACAGTATGAGACCTGGATGTATGCCATGCCGGTTCCTCATAGTTTGAAGCAGAGGCACCACTGCCAAGCTTCTTGGGAGCTCTCTCTTATTTGGGTTCAAAGCCTGAAGCTTATGTAAAATATCTGGATACATGTTTCCCAATAGAACTCCCTCCACGATATGCTAAATGCTGCTAATAAACGCCTTCTGAATTTTTCATCTATTCTTCTGTTAAACTAGGTTTCAGTGGTTTCCTTTCCTGCCCTTCTTATGATGAAGAAGTGTCTGTTTATAACCCTTCAGGCAACTTCGAGTTTAAACTGAACAGAAAGCGAGTTTGTCTTCCCACCTGAAGAAACTGAAATGTAGACAAACTGTATTAATGGCATACAAGATCCCAAGCATTAGACATTGAAGAAAATGCCCCCTTGGAACAGAGACTAAATTTTATAGTTCTACAGTTTACCCAGATGGCTTCCTTTAAGGGATGTCTATACCAAACTATGGGAGAGGAGCTAAGGGTTTGGGGAAACCAAAGTTGTTAGTGTTTCAGAAAGAAGAGATGAACTCAGAGAAATCATATTAGAGGTCCACAGAGAATTTTCCCTGTGTCTTCACATGATTGTTTTATATGTAAAGAGCTAGGGGATGCCATCCCATTGAGGAAAATTAAAGGTAAAATCACTAAGCAGCCATGGCAAGCTGAGAAATTTCCAGACAGGCAACAAAATAGAGCAGCCCATTGCATTCCATGATGAGTATTTTTTAAAAAGCCCACTAATTTAAACTGTTTCAGAAACTAAGGACATGTACTAATGTCAGGTAAATACATTATAATAATATATTATACCCCTCAAAACTCTATTCTGGATGTTTTTTAAAGGTGGATGGGGATGTAGATGTTAAAGAAAATAACAGATCTTATATAAGACAACACTACAGCATATGAAATGGAAAACTGATTAGAATTGATAGTAGATTGTCCATTGAATAGAATATTAAGAAACAACATAAGAGCAATATAACTAAGAGGTAGAGATAAAGATGACTAATAGTGAAGGCAGTGTCAATGAACTTCACACAACTTCACAAGACTTCATATGAAGCTGAATCCCCTGGAAGAGAGGAAGGGGCTGGGACAGACAAAAAATACACAAAGAAATAAAAGCTAGAAATTTCCAAAATTGTATATAAAACCATAAAGTCATAGAGCCAAGAAGGTCAAGAAAACACACAGTGGAGAAATACAAAGAAACCAACCAATAGGTATATAATCATCAAATTCCTCAGAACTATTGATCATTTCCTGTAGTGATAAAAACAAAATATTAAAGCATTATGGGAAAAATACACATTCCACACATAATTACCATCAGATGACAGCAGAGTCCTGACAGATATCTCAAGTGAGAAGAAAATGGGGCAACAGGAAAACACACAAAGAGACAGCACTGCTTAATCCCCTGTCCATCACAGAGTCTCTCTGAGGGGAGCATGGACTTGAATTGTACAATGTATAAAGTTACAATTCTTTGCAGAAAGAACTGTGTGGTAAAAGTACTTCGGAGGAAGTGAAATACTACAGGTTCCATGGATCAATACAGAGAAAGAAGGCACTCACAAAACAGCAGTTACAAATGTGTGTTTCCTGATCATTTAACTCTCTCTAAGGGGAAACGGGAAGTTTAAACGAAATCAACATCACCTTTAAGAGTTTGTAACATGAAAAATACATCGCACTGGTAAAGGAGCAGAAGGGAAGGGCTCCGAGGGTCTTAAACCACTGAGGAACTGATTTCCTCATAGTTAGACTGTGTAAATATGTACAAGAAAATGGTAGTCATAAAATGAAACTTACATTTAGAAGGCATTGTGAACATAAAATAGAATCAATAAACTGCCACGATACAAATTAGGAAGGGTCAGGAAAGGAACTCCAGGCATATTAGCGAATAGGAAGTTGGTGGTGGTGAGATTGAGACCACAATAACTACGTCAACTGAGCATGCGCGAGATCTCACAAACTTCACATGCGCAGCATATAGAAAGTACAGTTCAAACAGAAGCAACACATCGGCTGAACAAGAACCAGTGGGAAAACAGAGCTTGCCAACAGGAGTTGAAGCAAAACTGCAGTGAGTCTGTTAAAATCAGGGAACACACATTTTACAGTAACCATTTTATGGAGAATACCAAACACAATTATAGATTGCAAAGGGAGTAATTTTCATTTTAATGATAAGCTCTACTGTTCTTATAAGTGTGTGTCAAACAAAAATAACTACACGTAGAAAACAAACTTCAATAGAAGTGAATGGAAAAAATGGAAAAATTCCCGATTTCACGAAAACAACAACAACAATAACAAAACCCATCAATACCCCTTTCTTCAATAACCAAGAAAAGCAAATGGACAGAAAATCAGTAAGGATATAGACTATACTAACACTATTCAACAGAGTTGACCCCATTGACATGGACCGAGCACTCGCAGCCTAGCATTGCTTGTGTTTTTGAAGTCTATAGAAAACATCTACCAAAACAGACTAAATCTGGGCCATAAACCACACCTCAGAAAACTGTACATTATTTAAATCATATAAAGTATATTGATTAATCAACAAAATTGTCAACCAGCAAGTCATTCAGAAACATCACTAAATACTTAAAAATTGACCCACTTCTAGATAACCCAGAGAAGACAAAAAAGCCAAAATGTCAATCAGAAGCCAGGGACGAGGGTACAAATCCTGCAGTCTCAGCCCCTTAATGGCTGAAGGGCGAAAGATCCTGACTCTATAACCAACACGTACTATCTAACAAGACCCTGCTTCAAAAACATATAAAAGGAACCCACATGAAAACCAAGCTACACATCTGCTGCAAATGGCATGTGGGGCCTCCCCATCTGTAAGGATAAAAAGAGGGGAAGTGGGGGAGAGGGTGTGTGGGTGAGACAGGGGGAGGGGGCTGTGATCAGACTATAAAGTGAATAAGTAAATTAATTAACATTTTAAATGAGGATAGAGAATAGAAAATATTTTGAATAATTGAAAATATAAACCAAACATATCAGAATGTCCGAATGCTGACCTGGCAGAACTTAATGGCCTATTCATAGCCCAGAATGCCTTCTGGGAGGAATTTCAAAGAGCCCACAGCTCAAAAAACTAGAAAGAATGTTACCCAAGCCATGCTTATGAAAGTTGTTTCAAATTTGAGCCAGATTCTGTGAGCAGGTATTACTTTTCTTTTGTAAATGTGTTTAAAAGTTGTTTGAGGCTAAACTATGATTCAGGCAAGATCAAAACTGAGCTAAATATTGTTTTAAGCTTTGAAGAACAGGTAATGAGCCTGGCCTGAAATATGAGGATACCTGTTGTTGTTGTTGTTGTTGTTGTTGTTGTTGTTGTTGTTCTTGTTGTTACCTGTGGTACCATTTTATCTGTATTTCTTTCTTCCTAGTATTTGGAATCTTGACACTAGTAGGGCATGACTGTAGAGATTAAGCTACTTTCCTCTCAGCCTGTTTAACAGGGACATAGAAATGTGAAATAAAGCGTGGTCAGCAGTGTTATATATGAGAACTGCTTAGACATTGCTACTTAGGTCTGGAAAGATGGCTCAGTAGATAAGAATGCTCACTACTCTTTCAGAGTACCCAAGTTCAGTTCCCAGTCCCTGTATTAGATAACTCACGGCTTCCTATAACTCTAGATGCAGGGAAATTCAATGGTTGCTTCTGTGAGCGTCTGCACTCAGATGCACAAATAAAGATACATGTATGCAAATGTATATAAAATTAAAAACAAAATAAATCTTAAGAAAAGACATCAAATTTTTTTAATCTATAGTTTACCTTAGAACTGGATCTAACTTGCTGGCTAAACCTTGTTTAATTTTCTGTACCAAAAGACCAAGGGTCTTTTGGGTGACCAAGGTGGGACTCATATATCTGGTGACTGGCGAACAGTCTGTCAACCCTTTATTTTTTACAACTTAGCTATTTGCACAACAGTTGTCTCGTTTTGTCCTGAAATAAATGATTTCAATAAGACCTCGTTCCTCAGACAAGGAAAGATGAGGTGAAAATTATTCTTTGGAATCTGTATCCTGAAGGCCCTTCCTCAGACATCAGAACCCACGTGCAGAACTAACACTGATATTAGCTGTCTATGACGTACTTACTGTGAAATGACAGCACAGGTAAGTGAGAAAACACTGAAATGTTCCTCAAGGAGGAAACACATCAGGATCAGACTTCAGTGTTGTGCTGTTATCTGCAAAGGGCTTCAGTAACGGTCACACTTAATGGGACTGTTTCATCATCAGGACACTTATTTCTTAATTTAAACACCTACATGCTCAAAACAGATTTGGACCTCCCAGATAGTAAATGGAAGGGGCAAAGCAGAGGGCTGGGGTTGTGAAGATTAAATTAGCTGCTGTCTCTTTTCTATTTTCAGGACTTACATGTCTATATTCTGATTTCTTTATATAGTACTTAAATGCTTAATTCCCTGTTTCCCCTTTAGTCATATACGACTGACTCTCATGGTTCTATTTTCATTCACTTCTAAATTTTCTCCCTGCTGAAACTTCCCATGTTTTCTGCCATGAGGGGCGCAACCTGACCACCTTCTTGTCTGTTTAACATTTCAAGAATTTTTTTTTCTCCTTCCCTCCCTGTCTTGTATCTAATGAGCAAATTATCTAAAAATAGATATGTTCATCATTCTACAAAATGTTGTATCTCGTGTAGGTTGGAGGCCAATGTGATTGCAAGAGACATGTGTCTGGCAGACAGTGCCTTCGGTGCCAGGATGGATTCTATGACCTGCAGGCGCTGGATCCTGATGGCTGCCGTCCCTGTAACTGTAATCCCTCTGGGACTGTGGATGGAGACATTACCTGTCACCAAAATTCAGGCCAGTGCTCGTGCAAAGCAAACGTTATTGGTATGTATGATGCACAGGTTTGCAGTCACATTCTAGTCCCATCGGGGGTGAAAAGCCTCTATTTGATTTCTTAACTGAAGGGTAAAACCGATTTTCTTGCTCAAGTCTGGAAAACACAGTTCAGATGAAATTAACTGTCTAAAATATGACTAAATTAATAATTCTATCAAGCTATAGTTTGAAGCTTAGTTTAATCAACCCTTTAGAAGTTCCTTTAGCCAGTAGATGTTTTAGGTACACGGACTTGACTAATAAGTCATAGAAAAATATAATTTTCCTGCTACATGGACGTTTCTTTTAGAAAATTAGCACTTTTTCAAAATGTTTTACACTTAATAAGTTCTAAGCAAATGATTTTCCTGCTAGTTTTAATAGACCAAAAATAAATGGATTTTTTCCAAGACATTCTGTGCTAAAGGGTACTTTGTGATAAATCTTTCCATTTTTTTCTATTATATTTCTTTGAACTGTCCCTATGAAATGCAAAACAAGTCAACATAATTCCACACATCATGTTTATTGCTAGAGTTACTTATAAAGGGTCACATAATTTTAATTTTGTAATTCCGTACCAAGCTGATTATAGTAAACAGCGGGTTTCAGTGTTATTTATCATTTTTTATACAAGACATGCTTTTTTGTGTGTTACTCCCACAGGTATTTTTCAGAAATTAGATTTGATTATAGCAATTTATTACATCCAGCAGTGTTGAGGGGAACCACCGCCACATAAGGACAAAATTTATCAAGTGCCCAAAATGCACCACGTACATAATGCACTTTGAAATTTTGATGTATGAGAATATTATGAGGGGAAAGTTTGCTGATGAAGTGCACCCTGTGTTCTAACTGGGCATGCCCTGGCTCCTGATGAAGTGTATCCTGGGTTCTAACCGCACATGTCCTGGCTCCTGTGTGAAATTTAAAAAAGGAAAACATTTCTATTGTCAGTCAAGATGCCAAGTCCTACGTGGTCTTAATGAAATGGACCTGAACTTCAAAATAATAAAAATGCCTATCAGTGATATGTACACCACACAGGAATGTACATGTGTGTGTTCGTGTGTACACACACACACACACACACACACGCGTATACATATGCATATATTTGTATGTATTTACATGTAATTCTGAACAGTGTATTTTTTTTTGATATGACCCACTCTGTTTCTTTCACACATACATATACAAACTCCACCTCTCTGGTATGCAAACATTTTAATTAATTAAAAGATGACAGATGGGTCTGATGACATCACCCAGGGCCCTTCTGCTTTAAGGAAAGATTACGTAAAAGTCGACAATATTACTCCTGCCTCTATTTATGGCAAGCACACAAACACTAGCTAATAAAAGCGAAGTCTAACTGACTTGTGGAAGGCAGCTTGACTCTGTATGTGTGAGGAGTGACATGTAGAGTTCCTTCTATGTAGCTTTCTTTGTTCTTAGGTATGAGCCATGTTTTAAATTCAGGATATGGAAACACAAGTTAACCAGTGCCTTTGTACACAATGGAGTGGTGGCTTCTCCATTTCTGTGACATATGTCTTTTGGTAGTTTGATCCCACAGCTTGAAAAAGAAAGAAATTTTAATTACTTATAATTCATTGCAGTCTTCCTCATTTACTCATGCTACAAAGTGTTCTGCAAGAAAGTATAAATATGTATTTTCTGAAGATTAAATCCTCCGTTTAACAATACTGTAAATGGTGATTTCCAGAGCAAATCTCCACAAGTGAAATACTTTTAATAAAATCGCACACTTGACGTGAATATATATTTTCTTAATAGGATTAGCAGCCGTCCTTGCTGAAGATTACCTTGTTAATAGGAAGAAACAAGCCCCCTGAAAAAATACAAGGGAGTGTTGTATGTGTTTCAGGAGGCAAACTGTTTGAGTTAACAAAACTGTTAAATCTTACTAATGATTCTATCACCAGTAAAATACATTACCACCAATAATTTTATTAAAGTAGGTCATTCATCTAGAATAAAAAGGGAAGACTGTGAGTTAAATGCCAAGTGTGCTAACTCGCCTGCACTTGTTAGCTCCGAGTGTGATGCCCTGTAGGCCTCTGCGAGTATCGTTAGGAATAGATTACCTGTCAGGAATATGTACGGCATATGCAAATAAGTGCTGTGCATATTTTTAAAACTGATCTGATATGAATCCATGTAGACCGATTTTAATAGTTCAAAATGAGTCATAATTCTTGTTAACAATACAGTTATTTTTAAAATTTGCAGCAATCGCGGTCCTTTTTTTATTTTCCTTATTGAAATTAAATGATATGCCTTAGGTGAGCCATTCGTCATTGTTAAAGAACTTGCCTTCCACTGGAGTTTGAATGAATTTTTGTCCATACACAGACATATTATGCATTTTCTTCCAGCTTAGGGCTACTTTTCTCCATATCAGTGTCTTGAGTATATATTTGACTCTTGGTTTTAGGACTATTTTTTATTACAATTATACAATTATAGTTTGAAATAGATGTCTCAATTGATTCGATGTGGTGAGGGCAGGTATTTCCATTCACAGATTTTTAATACCTGCACAGTGTAAAGGAAGGGCTTTGCATCTAAACATCACACTGGTGCATTCTTTCAAATCCCTTTCCATGGCTGTGTCCTTTTTTGAGACTAACCTGAGTTGTCAGAGGTTTAAGTTTCAGTGACAAAACATTCTTCTCCATTTGTAAAATGCATGTACGCACTCCTTTGAAAAGGAATACCATAAGGGTCTGCGTTCGCTCTGTGCTTGAACAGGTGTGTTTGGATCACATGGTTTGACAAGCACTGAGATTGCTTTATGAGCCAAGGCAAGCATAATTTATATTAATTGAAAATGATAAAATATAGGGCCCTACAAAGGATTAAAATAAAAATTACTCTGGATAAGTTATATTTATGTGAATTATTTAATTTTTAACAGCTGAATGTAAATGTGCCTCTTGCTATCACAAAAACAGATATCAGACCAAGGTTTTATTTTTGCTTCTCTCCAGGTTTTAAAAGCTACTGTAAACAAATACAGATTTGGTGTATTTACTGGATACAACATGGCACTTTGGCATGCACACAATTCATGAAATGATTGCTTGAAGCCAATTGGCACATCTACTATCTACATGCTTGACATATTTGCAGTAAAGAATATTAAGATTTATTCTTTTACCAGTTTTTAAGTGTACACTTTAAAGCACTTTACCATTGTGATTCTAGCCACATTGATAGAGAAGTGAATTCTGGATCCTGTTTATTCTGTCTAGCTGCTATTTTGTACTCTACTTATCCTCCTAGGAAAAAAAATCTTATTAGTTCTTTTCAGGCAATTTAGATGTTTAGTAAAGTGACTTGAGGGGTCGTGCATTTTTTATTATTTGAAAATAGTTCAGATGTTTGTGAAAGTGGGTAAAAGTCCCCATGCATGCAACGAAAGTAATACTTGCATTCTGCATTCTATGTTGTATTGATTAGCAATTAAATTTCTCAAGGTACCCTGCTTACCACATGCGTGACAGAGCTGAATCAGTATTGCCACAGCGTTTTGCATGTATGGCCATGCTGGAGTGGTACTCCTTGTGGTTAGGATCTGTGTTCAATGTTTAATCTTCATCTTCAGCCCTCTTCAGTGATGCTATCCTTCTTCCATTCACCCTTTCAAATGTGTTTTGTTTCCAGGGCTTAGATGCAATCGCTGCAATTTCGGATTTAAATTCCTCCAGAGTTTTAATGGTGATGGATGCGAGCCCTGCCAATGTAACCTCCATGGCTCGGTGAACCAACTCTGCGATCCACTTTCTGGGCAGTGTGCATGCAAGAAGGAAGCCAAAGGACTTAAGTGTGACGCTTGCAGAGAACACTTTTATGGGTTGCCCTGGAGTGTTTGTAAGGTTTGTGACTGCAGCAGGGCTGGCTCCCAGCCTGGGACCGTCTGTGATGCTGAGACAGGGCAGTGCATTTGTAAGCCCAATGTTGGAGGGAGACAATGTAGTCAGTGCAAGGAAGGATACTTCAACCTACATCAGAATGATTCCTACCTCTGTTTGCCTTGTAACTGTGAGAAGACGGGGACGGTAAATGGCTCTCTGCTGTGTGACAAGTCATCTGGGCAGTGTCCTTGCAAATTAGGGGTAACTGGTCGGCGTTGCCACCAGTGCAAGCCTCACAGGTTCAATCTGACAATTGGCAATCCTCAAGGGTGTCAGGCGTGTGAGTGTGACTCCTTGGGGACATTACCTGGAAGCGTTTGTGACCCCATCAGTGGCCAGTGCCTATGTCTACCTCGTCGACAAGGAAGACAGTGTGAGCTGTGTCAGCCAGGTAAGAGAGGCTCCTGTCAATTCAGTGGCTGCAGGTGATCCCTCTGTTTCCAGTTTCAGCTTATAAAGAATGTAGGTTCAACACCGTGTCTGCATTTATGCCATCCACGCTGAGCTATTTATCTGCTTGAGACTGTCTTGTCTGTGCATTTGCTGTTGGTGGGGAAGGGAGGCGCGCATTAGAGGAGTCAAACCTACTTCCTGATAGAGATATGCTATAATTCCTTATCTTGAAGTGGATACATTTTTAATCAGTTAAAAGATAGATAACTTAAAAAAGGGATTATTATTTTGTTTTCTAAAAAAAAAAAAGAAGAAGAAGGAGAATTTGACCTAATGATCTGTACAATATCAGTTATCTAGATGATGGATCAAATTTCTAAATAAAGTGGCTGGCAAAGATATTAACGAAAGGAATGTACACTCTGCCATCATAAGGATACATCTAGGATTATTTGTAAATGCCATCATATAATTAAATAGATAGTTGTCTGATCTCACTGTATAGAAGCCCATCCTTTTATTTGTTTCCTGGTGGGAGTAAAGCCCTTTGCCTTTTTATAATGTTAATTAAAGTAATACTTTATAATAAGTTGATCAAACTTTTTAACAGTTGAAGCTATATTGATTTAGAAAAATTACAGGAGTTAGTTCTTCTCTGGGGTCTATGACACTGTAGCTATGGGTCTTGGCCAGGTTTATAGTAACAGGCAGAAGTTGTCTCCTATTGAGCTGGCCCTAAGTCCAGAGAGGTAACTGTTGGTTACTCCCAATATATAAGTGCCCTTATTTCACCGCTAGGGATATCTTGCCAGCAGAGAGAGAGAGAGATCATGAATTCAAGAGGGGCTTGGAGTCAACTTGAAATGGAAAAAGACAGGTGGGCAGTACGTATGATGCAAATATAGTGTTCTTACTCCTATGAGAGGAAAACAAGATGGATAAAGCTGCTTAATTCATGGATGAACTTGAAAGCCAGAAAAATATAAAATTATAAGAACGAAGCTAAGATCAGTGGTTGCCAGAAGTTGGGCCTGGTAGAAGAGGACTGACTAGAAAGAGATGCTAGGAGAGGTTCAGATACGTTGTATCACTTAAAATTTGACTGTGTGAGTAGCTACATAATTACTGGTTTTCAAAATCCATTGATACATACAAGTAAGTCTAGGAAACGTCACTTTAAGGAACTATGCTGCATGCCAGGCAGTGGTGGTGCACACCTTTAATCCCAGCACTTGGGAGGCAGAGGTAAGCAGATTTCTGAGTTCGAGGCCAGTCCTGATGAGTTCCAGGACTGCTAGGGCTACACAGAGAAACCCTGTCTCGAAAAACCTAAACAAACAAACAGACAAACAAACAAAACAAACCAAGAAACTATGCTGCATATGCTGCAGTAAAACTGAGTAAAAAGAACTCTCTCTATCCCCCCGCCCCAGGCTACAACATTTATATTCTTTCTTCTCTCTCCCAAAGAGGCTTCCCTGCTCCCCTCTTCTCCATGTATGGATATTTGGCCACCATGTGTTCCTGATGATGCCTATAATACTCAGTTATGCAGACGGACTTACAAGCTACCTGCCTTTTACAGTTTCAGGCTGTAGGAGGGCATTCTCATTTGCTTCGTTTTGACAGGCTGTGCACCCTTGAGCTAATTCAGCGTGGCCAGAGATGTCAGGACATCTCAAGTGATCAGTGTATGTATCCAGGAACCTGGTTTAACTTGGTGTAAGGAGAGTGTCCCCAGGAAGTAAGAGCATTGTTGGAGAGCCAGGCCAACAGGCTGAACAGAGCTGCTACTTCTGTGTCTTTTCCCCTTGAGCAACCTCTCAAATTTGCTGTCTGCTGAGGTTTTGGACTCATGAACTGATCTTGTGTTCTTTCTTTAAAAAACATTTTTCTTTAAAAAGTTGTCTAATTTTCAGGGTACAGTCTCCTTCATGTTGAATAACCAGGATTCTGCATCATTGTTTTTCAATAGTAAAGGGGTTCCAATGGGTCCAATGATATTTAATTTGCTTAGTTATCTTCTGGTAAAATTGAATGTTTCATTCTGACTGAATTGTGCATACACTGTTCATGTTGCCTATTTTAAACAGCATGAAACTCAGAAATAAAACCTTTTCTTTTTGATAAAGGTCTGATGCATCATCCAGATATCTGGGCATTCTTAATCACTCTGTGGTCTTCTGAGTGTTTCTGTGTGTTGTGTCAATGCAGACATAGAGAAAAATATGCAACAGCTAAACAGATGAAAGAACAGGCTTTTCTTTCTCTGTACACCATGGACTTCTGCCTCTTCCTGGTCCTTCTTAGACAGAAAGTCTCTGGCCTTATACTTCTTTCCATCTTGATCATAACCAGGGCAAGTCATTGTTTACATCCTTCTGCTGTTTGCCTTCATGATGTCTCTGCAATGGAGTGCTCCCAAAGTGCCTTGCAGTCATGTATAACAAAAGGAACTGTGTTAGTCAGGGTTCTCTAGAGTCACAGAACTTATAGAATGTCTCTATATAGTAAGAGAATTTGTTGTGATGACTTACAGTCTGTAGTCCAACTCCCCAACAATAGTCAGCTGTGAATTAAAAATCCAAGGATCCAGTAGTTACTCAGTCCTACAAGGCTAGTTGTTTCAGGTGGTCTTCTGTAGAAGTAGGTTCCAACAGACGTGTTAGCAAGTAAATACAAACAGAAAAGTGAATCTTCCTTCTTCCAATGTCCTTATGTAGGCCTTCATTAGAAGGTGTGGCCCAGATAAAAGCTGTGTACTACCATCCCTGGATCTGGTACTCATTTTGTCCCAGGCTGTCCTTGAACTCAGAAATCTCCTTGCCTTAGTCTCCTTGGATTAAAGGTGTGTACTACCTTTTCTGAACCTAACCTAAGCTTTTCATAGCCACTATGCCTCAAGGTCTCCATGCCAATATGTAGGTCAAAAACTTCTGTCTTCCAGCCTTAAGACCTGGATCACAGTGTGCCCTCCAATTCTGGATTGTAGTTTATTCCAGATATAGTCAAGTTGACAACCAGAAATAGCCATTACAAGAACCTCACCTTTGCTGACCTTTTTCAACTCAAACACCCTTTTCAGACAACTCAACAACTCTGGTTCTGGTTTTAGTGTTGGTGTATGTAGGGTAGGGTGCTGGATGACTAGCCCCAAAGGTATTCCTGACTCTGTGTCCCTAGTACTGAATTACAGGTACATGCTACCACACACAGCTTTTTAACTTGCATTTTACTGAATCGAACTTACGTCTTCATACTTGTGTGGCATCTCCCCAGCTCCCAATTTCTGTCTATCTTAATGCTTTGGTTCCTTCTTCTTGGTATTTCCATGACCAGCCAGAATAGGATACTTTTGACTTTACTCAGACTGCTTGTTACCAAGTATCAATTTACTTCTTTTCTACCTAGACTGAAACAGAACTATGTATTCAGCATGTGTAGGATTGGTTGATTTCTTCCAATAAAAGTTCTCATTTAAAAGACTGTCTAACTCCCCATTGTACATTTAGTGAACCAGAAATATTTTCTAAACATTAAGCATCAGTATTTTAAAAGGTTAGTTCATTCAAACCTCTATAAATGTGTAATCATAAGGCAATTTTGAAAATGTGCTAACATTTATTTCATGCACTGTTTATTATTTGAGTCTGGAAAGAAGTTCAAAACATCACATTACATTCTCATTCCAAGTGCCTTTGTTGTATTACTTCTTTTTATGAAAGTTGTATGGATCTATTTAAGAGGAGGAAACAATTCCTTTGTGTATAAATACCACTTTATTTATCTAGCCATCAGTTGATGGTAAAGAGAATGAGATCCTGTAATTTGAAACAACCTTCATAGACCAGGCTCAAAATAGCAGGTACTGTGTGAACTCACCCTTATGAGGGATGGTGATAAGTTGGGATCACATAAGCATAGGGTGGGGGATAGATAACAGACACTGGGAAGAATAGGAAGATGAAAAAGATTAACTGGATTCTAAGAAGTTTTAGCGTGCTTCTGAGGAGTGTAGTGAATATGCAATGACCTGAATACTTCTAAAGGACTAGGCAGAAAGGCATCTTTGTTTAGTTTTAGTTTTTTAATTAATATTTTTATTAATTCTTTGAAATTATCATGCAATATTTTGCACATATTCTCCCCACTTTTCTCCCCTTAATTCCTCTTGTTTCCACTCACACATCCCTACCACCCTAACTTCCTGTCTCATTTTTTTTTTTAATTTAAATGACCTGTCAAGTCTAATTTGTGTTGTTTATATTCTTCCGGGTGAGTGATCACCCAGTCTCATGCGGCTGCTCTACAGAAGCCACACCTTTAAAGAGAACTGATGTCCCTTTCTCCAAAAGCCACCAGCCGTCCATGAATCCTCAGTTAAGGGTAAGGGTTCTTGAACTGCTTCTCATGCCAGGCTAGATGATAACTGGCTTGATCTTGTGCAGGTCTTATACAGGCAACCACAACTGTTGTAAACTCATGAATGCAGTAGTCCTGTCATGTACAGAAAACACACACATACACAAACACACACACACCATATATGTTATTGTGTATCAGTTTTTAAAAGGTTGAATTAAATTTAAATCAGAACTTGACGCAAAAATGGAATAGGTGATGGTAGCATTACAATGAGGATGCTTGTGTTGTTAAGAATGTCAACCTCCAGGCTAGAAAGATTTCTAGGTAGTGCAGAGCCTTTGTAATTCTGGCAGAGGACCCTGGTTCAGTTCCCAGTACCCACAAGGTGGCTCACAGACCATCGCTGTAAAGTAGACATTATGTATGTTCTACTCAGTAGTGCAAATACAATATTATTTGATTAGTCTAAGATATCTACAGTATCCACAATCAAAAGTCTTCTCAGTAGATAACATAATCTCTTATTAGTTTTTTCCATATATTTCAGAGTGCTCTGATTATAATCTCACATCTGTCTCACTTACACACTCCTAGCATGAGGGCTCCTCCTCAGGCTTCTGGAGATACTGACCA